CAGCTGTAAATGGAACTGATAAAATTAGCTATGCTCATTTCACAGGGTTATACTGGGTCTCATAAACCTAGTGACTGTGAAAGGGTCACCTGAATGGTAAAATAGTATACATGAGTTAAGTCTGGTAAGCACTCATAGTGAGGGTGTTTTTTGTGTGATTGTCTGATTAAGTTTTCTCTCTAGGACCCTGATTTCTTTCCTTTTTTTTTTTTTAACATTTTTTATTGATTTATAATCATTTTCAATGTTGTGTCAAATTCCAGTGTAGAGCACAATTTTTCAGTTATACATGAACATACACATATTCATTGTCACATTTTTTTCTCTGTGAGCTACCATAAGCTCTTGTGTATATTTCCCTGTGCTGTACAGTATAATCTTGTTTATCGATTCTACAGTTTTGAAATCCCATCTAGGGATCCTGATTTCTGAATCCTGGTTGGTCAACATGGGTTTTTCACTGTGCTTTATCACAGATTCCAGTCCTTTCAGTCAGAGAGATCTGGGTTGGAATCCTGGTTCTGGCACTGATGAGCTACTGGCTTGCTTGTCAATAGCCCTGTAACCTTGCTAAGCCTCTGTTTCTTCATTTTCTCAAGTGGGGTTGTTAATGTCTATTCCATAGTGGTATAGCAAAAATTAAATGAGATAAAGGAGGTAAAGTGCCTACTGTATAGTAGGTGCTTCTTAAATGCTACTTTCCCTTCTTTTCTAGTTTTTCTTCAGCTGTCATAGAGTCCTGTGATTCACTGTGTTGGGTGTCAGGGGAAATTGAATTGTTTAGTTTTCTGATGATGCAATAAGCCCCTCCCCCATTTCATAATCTCATGTTTGAATTCTCCCTCTGTGTACATTTCATCACTTCCAAAACTTTAGCAGCCCAAGGCAAGAATCCGTCCTCCCCAGAGCCACTTGTTCCTGAGGTCTGGGTTAGTGGGAAGCACTGGCTGGCACATCCAGTGGATTCCAAGAATGATCTGGATGTCACTTAATTAAAGAGTCTCAGTGAGGCAGGATCAAGATGGTGGAGTAGGGAGACACTGAGCTTACTTGCTCTCATGAGCACACCAAAACTGAAACTACATATAGAACAGCTTTCTCTGAGAATGACCTGAAGACTACAGAATAGCTCTCCTACAATTAAGGATATAAAGAAAAAACACATCAAGGCGAATAGGAGGGGCCGAGACATGATCGCTTCAGGACCCTCCACCCCTTGGCAGGTGCCCCACAACAAAAGGGGACATCACAAACTTGGAGATCCTCCGTAAGAGCAAAGGGTTCAAGCCCCACATTGGGGGCCCTAGCCCTAGGGACCAGCATCAAGAAGATGATCCCCCTTAACTGGTTTTGAAAACCAGTAGGCTTACAGCTGGGAGAGCTGGAGGGCTGTAGGAAACTGAGACTGTGCTTTTAAAGGGCTTGCACACAGACTTACTTGCTCCCAGGCCCAGTGCAGAGGTAGTGGATAGAAAAGCACCTGGCAATCTAGCCAGCCTGCCAAGACCACACCAGCACACCCCCTAGCCTCCACCTGGCTCCTCCAACTGTCCCCCATGCCAAGGCAGCAGCCCCTGGTGCACCCTGGAGAAGTCCTGGCACATGCCAGGCTGTGGCTCTAGTTTAGCTTCAGAACCCCCCACAAGGTGGCAATCACTGGTGCACCCTGGGGACAGAGCAATATGTTCCAAATGAAAGAATAAGATAAAACCTCAGGGGAAAAAAAACCCAATAAAACTTAGATAAGTAATTTATCTCATAGAGAGTTCAAAGCAAGGGTCATAAATATTCTCACTAAAGTCAGAAGAATAGAGGAACACAGTGAGAACTTCAACAAAGAATTAGAAAATATAAAAAAGAACCAATCAGAGATGATGAAAACACTAACTGAAATGAAAAAATACACTAGAGGGAATCAACAGCAGATTAGGTGATACAGAAGAATGCATCAGTGACCTAGAAGACAGAATAGTGGAAATCACCCAATCAGAACAGTGAAAAGAAAAAAGAATTTTAAAAACTGAAGATTGTTTATTGGAGCTTTTAAAATAAAGGCCATTTATGACAAACCCACACCTAACATCTTACTCAGTGGTGAAAAGCTGAAAGTATTATTTCCTCTAAGATAAGGAACACGACAAAGATGCTCATTTTATTCAGCATAGTATTGGACGTCCTAGCCACAGCAATCAGATAAGAAAAAGAAAAGGAATCCAAATTGTATGGAAAGAATTAAAGCTACCACTATTTGCAGATGACATGATTTTGCATATAGAAAACCCTAAAGACTCCACCAAAAAACTATCAGAACTAATAAATAAATTCAGTAAAGTTGCAGGATACAAAATTAATATACAGAAGTTGTACTTCTATACTAATAATGAACTATCAGAAGAAGAAATCAAGAAAAGAAAACCATTTATAAACCACATCAAAAAAAAAAAACCTAGGAATAAATTTAACCAAGGAGGTGAAAGACCAGTACTCTGAAAACTATAAGACAACAGGCACATAAAAAGATGCTCAGCATCACTGATCATCAGGGAAACGCAAATCCAAACCATACCTCATACCTGTCAGAATAGCTGCCCCCCAAAAAGACAAGAAACAACAAGTATTGCCGAGGATGTGGAGAAAAGGGAACTCTCGTGCACTGTTAGTGGGAATATAAATTGGTGCAGCCACTGTGGAAGACAGTATGGAGTTTCCTTAAAAAGTTAAAGATGAGCCACCATATGATTTAGTGCTTCAATTTCTGGATATTTATTCTAAGAAAACAAAAACAATTCAAAAGATGTATGCACACCAATGTTCATTGTAGCATTATTTATAATTAACAGCAGCCAAGATATGAAAGCATCCTGAGTGCCCAACAGATGAATGGATAACCAATATGTATTTTACATATATACACACACATATACGTACATACACAAACACACACACCCAAACATGATGGAATATTACTGAGCCATAAAAAGAATGAAATCTTGCCATTTGTGATATGAATGGACCTAAAGGGTATTATGCTAAGTGAAATAAGGCAAAAACTTTGTTTTCAGGTATATGTGGAATCTAAAAAAGCAAAACAAACAAACATAATAAAACAGGAACAGTTTCACAGACATGGAGAACAAATTAGTGGTGTGAGAGGGGAGGGTGTTGGGGAGATGGGTAACATAGGTGAAGAGGATTTGAGGTACAAATTACCAGTTATAAAATAAGTCATGGGGATGTAATGTACTACACAGGGATTATTATCAATAACATTGTAATGACTCTATGATGCATAATCTATAAAAATATCAAATCACTATGTTTTATACCTGAAACTATTAAGTCAACCATACTTCAATTAAAAAAAAAAGTCTCAGATGAAGGACCTGAAGTTCGGGTTGAGCCACGGCCCGTGTTCCACTCCGTCATTGTTCGCTGTCCTTTGTTGCCTCCACGTGGCCCTCTGGCCTAAGGGGCTGCTCTCTAGCCTCTGATCAGAACATCTCCTGTGCCTTTACATTATCCAGTTCAAAGTCTGTGAACACCATTTACATTTGGTCCTCCCAACACTCGGTGAATGAGACAGGGCAGAGATGACTACTCTACAGAAACTGAGGTGCAGAGGGGCTAAGTGACTTGCCTAAGGTCACCAGGAATGGGGACAAGAACCCAGGTTGTGTGACCACCCAGCTCAGTACTCCTGCCACCTCACCCTGATACCCTTAGGAGCGGGCTTCATGGAAGTGGACTCTAGGTCCCTAATCAGTTAGCAAACCCCTGCGGGTGATTGCTTAGACTCATCACGGTAAATAAACACAGTCACTCAGGGGAGAATGTAATGTTTTCAGAAGGTACAGACATTGTTTAAGTTCAAAGTGCTTCCATTTTCCACTCAGTTTCACAATAAATTCTGGGAAAACAGAGTAGGTCTTTACCCAGAAATAAAGGGGACTGTTCAGGCTCTATTTGCTTAGTGAAATTCATTTTCCAGAACCTTTTCAGCAGTTCTGTAGATGAGGTAGTGAAAGGGAAATGGATTATGGAATCAAGTGCACTTGGATTTGAGCCTCAAAGCTACTATTTATTCACCTGTGCGATTCTAGGCACTTCTTTTAACCTCCCAGAGCCCCAGGTGGCTGATCTATAAAGATGGAGATTATAACACCTTCATGGCGGGTGAATTTCAGGGCCCTTCTGCACAGCTCAGGGGATGCCCTTCTTATCAGATTATTATAAACTTGGTACTCACTGAAGTTACGCATCACAGTGACCTGACTTATGGTGAAGTTAATGATTAAATGCCTAGTGTGCTTCATGCATTTTTGTTTTCATTTCCTTAATTGGTCCCAGGTCTGCTATCTTACCAAGATTCCCCACCTTCCTCAGTGAGGCGAGGCAGTCTCCTGACACATGTTAGATTGTGAAGCTAACCCTTGGTTTTCTTCTCACGCCGGAGTCCAGCACTACTGCCCTTAGAGAGATGAGACACAGACCTATGACACTGTCTATGGTGAGAGGTCCCTTGCAATTTTAAAAAGGTACTGGGCCTTTTTTAGGGAGGTTTGGTACTTGTGATGTAGACAGGTCAGCCTGCCCCTCCTTTTCCTTTTGGCTTTTCAAGCATATATGCTTTCATGGAACAAATAGTGTGAGATGTGGTTCTTGACCTCAAGAAGTCCAGAGGGCAGTCAGGGAGCTAGACCAAGACAGCACGAAGCTAAGACTCAGGGTGTGAGGCGGACTGGTGGAAGGGCGTGTAAAGTGATCACTGCGCAGAGAGGAAGATGGGAGTTTGTCTGAGGACTGCTTTCTACAGTTAAAGCCCAAACAGAGGGTGGATTTTTATCTTTTTTTTTTTTTTGAGAGTTGATAAAGTTTGCAGACCTGGTGGGAGATAGACCTTGGCTGGAATTCAATTCTTGTCATTCTAAATCCATTGCTCAGTCCACTGTTACATTTAGATTTTCTTTACATCTTTTTTTGCCTTGTCTCTCTTTTTTCAGGCTTGTTGTCCTGCTCAGAACAGAGTGGCTTCCTTGAACACGTCTTTAATTATGATTCACACCAACTTGAAGAAGAAATTCAGCTGCTGTGTGCTGGTCTTTCTCCTGTTTGCGATCATCTGTGTGTGGAAGGAAAAGAAGAAAGGGAGTTACTATGAGTCCCTTAAAATGCCCACCAAGGAATTCCAAGTGTTGAGGAGTCTAGAGAAACTGACCATGGGGTCTGGTTCCCGGTCTGTATCTTCAAGAGGCACGCAGAATCCCCAGAGTCCCAGGGGCCCAGCCAAGGCCAAGCCAGAGGCCACCTTCCAGGTGTGGAACAAGGACAGCTCTTCCAAAAACCTCATCCCCAGGCTGCAAAAGATCTGGAAGAATTATCTGAGCATGAACAAGTACAAAGTGTCCTACAAGGGGCCTGGGCCTGGCGTTAAGTTCAGTGCAGAGGCCCTGCTTTGCCACCTCCGGGACCACGTGAACGTTTCCATGGTAGAGGTCACAGATTTTCCCTTCAACACCTCCGAATGGGAGGGTTACCTGCCCAAGGAGAACATTAGGACCAAGGCTGGGCCGTGGGGCAGGTGTGCAGTCGTCTCTTCAGCGGGATCTCTGAAGTCCTCCCAACTGGGTGGAGAAATAGGTGGGTTCTGGGGTGTTAAGACTGTTATCATCTGAACAGCCAGTGTTCATCTGGGCACATGGACAGGACTGGGGACCAGGGGTCCCAGTGTGGCTCTAGAGGCTAGCAGAGCAGCCCTGGAGCAGTGTTTTCCAACTGTCCTTCATGAGTCAGAGATGCCTTGAGAGGATGGGCACCCAGTCTTCTGGCACCTTTATCAATTAGAATGGCTTCATTTTTTTAATCTGTCTTCAATATTGGTGTTCTACAGAAGAGTTTGTTTGAAAAGAGAGTTCCACTGTGACCACTAAACAAAACACCACTGACATTTAAACATATTTAAAGCATAGATTTCTACCTTCAGGTTCTAGGTGAAATTCAGTAATTTTACTGGTGAATTAGTGGCTGTCTCTTTTGGTCTCAACTACCTGGGCAATTTTCAGCTTTTCTCCTTAAAAAGGATTAATTGGGGGCTGTGAACCAACTCAAGAGGTTCATGAGTCCCTAAAATCACCTGCAAAAATATACTCTGATTAGGTGTCTATAGCATGAATGTATATGTGTAAGTCAGTCTGCATTTTCCCAAAGAGAGAGTCCATGACTTTTAGTTGATTCTCAAAGGTGTCTGTGACGCCCCCCCAAAAGGTTAAAAAAAAAATCACTGCTCAGAATATATCAATTTGCTCGTCTTGAAATCTTTTGCAGTTAGTGAAGATAGAGAATTATCCAGATTTGTAAACATGTGTACAGCACAGAGCTATGGATTTGCTTAAGGCTCCTTAGTTCCCTTATTTTGGGAGAATGTGCTTTCCATTATTGTGAAATGAATCAGGCTAAAGAAAGCAAAACACAGGAAGCCTTGCTCTTCTGTCAGGCTCTGGAAAGTAGTTGAGCAGGTGAGGTCATATGTCTCCTTTTTTATTTCCTACATGTGACTGCCAGGAAAAATGGCCGGAAACCCAGCACAGGCTCTCACAAGAAAAGTAGACCCAAACTGGATTCTCTAGAGCAGAGAGCAGTGGTGAGATCACATTTAATACCTCCCCACATAGGCAGCACTTTGGAACAGAAGCTGCCGAGGTAACCAACCCCACCCCAGCTTTTGCTTTTCGGTTTCTTTTTTTTCTTCTTTTTCTAGAAACTAAATGTAATTACTTTTTGTTCATCCATAAGAGGAACTAAATTTCTTTCTCTCTTCCCCATTTTTGCTCCTTAGTGGTAATGGTTAGAACATTCCAGGTCCTGAAATGTTAGCTGGTTCTCAACACATCATCGTTGTCTGCCGGACTGGAGTTGTGTTGAAGTTTCAGGCAGAGCCTAACACTTCCATGAATTGGGACTATAATCATTATTTTTATGCACTCTGTAAAACTTCGTGGTGATTTAACGAAACATTAATTAAAATAACCTTTTCCTGTAGACTGCAGTTATAGTTTCAAATACGTGTTTCCATGGAAGGACTTTGATCCTGAGATCTAACACAAATTGCATGGTAGACTTCAAATGTTCTGCATTTTATAGAGTGTTTCCTTTGGGCATTTAGTCTAACAAGTATTTGAAGGAGTTCGTTCATGTCTTCTTTTATTCAATTCATGGATTCATCAACAGTAACAAACAGCAACTTAGACTACAAAGGGGAAGGGGAAAGGAAAGGCCCTCTGTTAATGGCCTCCGAGCTTGCCAGGCCCCCGCATTCCCACTGCACCTGGAATCTGTCCAGCCTGTTCCCAACTGTTGAACATACCAGATGGTTTCACATTGTTTGCTCTTACAAAGAGCTAATGAGGCTTTTGTGCAGATAATTTAAGTGACTACCACTGCCCTTCAAATATTCTCAGGAGTGGGACTAGGATACCAAAGTAAGATACGTTTCATGGCTTCTTTTTTCTTTTGGTCTATTACAAAATTGTTTACCAGAGGGATTGTAATAATGCACTGTTTCCAGCAGTTCCACAAACCAACCAATGGCAGGCAATTGTTTTTGATATGTATGCATGTAAAGTATCTTAGATTTGTTTGAATTTTCATTTCAAACAATAGCACATTTGAAAAATATTGTAACTAATAGGAGTAACACTTTCTGTGCACCTGCTACGGGCCCAAGAAGCCTTGTTCTTTTAATCCTCCCAGTAATCCTACGAGGTAGGTACGATTATTTTTCCCGTTTACTGATGAGCTGAGTGTTGACGTTCAAAGAGGTTACACAACTGGTTCATAGCAGACTGGGGCTTGAAACCTTGGACTTGACTCCAAGGCCCCCACACTTAGCCTAACCTCTGCTTTTGTACCTCACAATGATTGTGTCTTTATAGTAATAAATGAATCCTTTTGTTAGGCTAAAATAATCCCTTGATGTTCTTGCTTACTTGCTCACCTAGAGGAAGGGAGAAGAATGTTCTGAGTTGAGGCAAAAGCAGGAAGTAAAGGCTGCATGGAAAAACGTGCAAAGTATGTTTGGGCATCACAAATAATCCTATTTTGAAATTGACACAACATTGTAAACTGACCATACTTCAGTTTAAAAAAAGGTGGGGGGGGGAACCCCAAAAAGCAATTAATCTTGTTTGCCTGGGAGGTGAGGCCCTGCAGGGTGAAGAGGGCGGAGGAACAGGTCAGAAAGGCAGCCAGGGATCAGCTCGTAGAGAATGCTGATGGTCACAGTAAGGACTTTGGATTTCATTTTTTTTTAGCCACAGAGAGCCCTAGAAGGTTTTTGAGTGGACAAGTGATGGGATCATGTGTATTTTTGAGAGATTTCTCATTTCTCTGAGTCGCCTTCTCTCTGGGCACTGCTATATAGTCTCTGGTTATTAGGGACTATTATAGCCCAAGTGACAAGTGCCAGGCCTGCTGAGCAGGGGTGCTGGTGATGGAAAGACAGGGTCTGACTTGAGAGGCATCCTGAGTTAGAAGAGACAGAACGTTCTAACTAGAAATGACCTTGAGGGAGAGGCAGGAGCCAGAGTCTCTGGCCCGGGAGTGGCTCTGTTGGATCACAGGGGAGCTTGCTTCTGGAGAAGGATCAGTTCCATCCGGGATGTGCTGAGTCTGGCATGTTTGTGGACTTCCCTGGGTAGATCCTGGTGCAGCTCAGTATTTGCTTCCAGGAAAGGGGCAGATTTAGGAGTCATTTGTATCAAGGTGATAGTTGTAGTCCAGGAAATAGGACTGATGAGAAAACCTAGAGAAAAGATTACATTTGAAGAACAGGGAAAGAACAGAGACAAGGAAATAAAAATCAGGAAGGCCAGTGATGGAGGTGGGTATAGCTCAGTGGTAGAGTGCATGCTTAGCATGCATGAGATCCTGGGTTCAATCCCCAGTACCTCCATTAAAAGAAAAATTAAGTAAATAAACCAAATTACCTCCTACCCCCAAAAAAACCCTAAAAAGAAAGAAAATAGTAATAATAAAATTGTAATTAAAAAAAAAAAAAGGAAAGGCCAGTGAGAAGGGCTGGAAGAATAGCAGCAGGAGTGTACAGTATGATGGAAGGCAAAGGGGGATCCAGTTTGGGCATATTTGGGGGCAGATGGAGTCCTGGGCAGAGCAAGGACTGGGAAGACACCCTTGGATTGAGTAGCTCAGAAATCATGATTGTTTATATCAGGGCTCAGCAAACTTTCCCTGTAAATGACCAGATAGTAAATATTTTTGGTTTTGAGGACATAGAGTGTCTCTTACGAGGACACAACTCTGCCATTCTAGTGTGAAACCAACCAGAGACAGTAGTAAATGAATGTACTTGGTTGTGTTCCAATAAACCTTTATTTACAAAAATGGGACAGGTCAGATTTGGTCTGTAGGCCATAGTTTGCTAGACCTGATCTATGTCATACCTGGTTCTCCTAACCAGAATCAGAATATAGTCTTCCATAAATGGTTATATGATTCATTAAGCTAACTGGAAAATATGAAAAATGTTTAGTCCAAATAATGATAAAATTTCTTTCACCATAATTTTTAGCTATTTAGAATTATTATACCTGGGGGCAGTAATTTTTGATGTATTTATGAATTTACTAGCAAGCTGAATCTGTCAAAGTTTCCAGGCATGCAGTTATAGCCTGTGCATATCATGGCGCAATTATTTCTTCCTTTTCTCATTCGCATCTTTTTCTGCTAAGTTAAAGAGAAGTGGAGGCCCCTGTCTGCTACAGTCTTCGCCCTTGCAGGTTTGTTTGCTGGGATCTCAGTAGCTGTGGATTTTTCCTGGTGATTTCCTGGAAACCTGTTTGAGTTTGAAAGTCTTTTAGTCTGCGATAGCAATAGCAAAGGACAGTTTGGCAAACAAAGATCTTTCCCCCCCTTTTTTTATGAGCCCAAATTTAGTGGCCTGTTTTAAAATTTTCTCCTTTGATTGATTTTTTTAAAAATCTTAGAATAAAATCCAAACTTCATAGCTGGCTTCTGCAGCCTACGTGATCTGGTTCCTGCCAGCCTCTTTCACTGCAGCTTTATTTTTCCTTCCCTCAATCACTTGTCTCCAGGCAAGTCCTTGCCCTCTTTGGGTCTTGACACTGCTGCATCCTCTGGCTGGAATGCACTTCCCTGGGCCCCTCCCGTGCCCTATGGGTCTCAGCTCAGAGGCAGTCCCTGAATTATCCCTCTGCCTAAAGGACATTCCCCCAGGGTCTCTGGTACACAAACTGCAATTATCTCGAATATAGGTGTTGTGCTTATTTATTTATTAATGTCTCTCCTTGCAGTAGATTCCAAGGTCTCCAAGGGCAAGGACTTTGTCTTTCTTGCTCACAACCATTGTTTTCAGCACCTAGAACAGTGCCTGGCAGGGCGTAGGTGCTGGATCAGTATTTACTGAAGGAACAAAAACATTCTCTTTTCTCAAGGTCAACACTTAGGATCTACCCTAAGCCTCCTGTGTTGGGTGTTCTCCATCTGCTCCTCCAAATCCACTCTCCACCCTTTCCTAGACCCTGTGCCCTGGGAAATTGATATGTGGACTGAGTCAATTGGGCTTCCTTGCCCTCTGGTGTTTAGGGCCTGGACAGTGTTCGTGCTGGTATAAAATGGAGAGGAAGAAGGGGAGTGAGGCAGTGTATCTGTCTCCCCCCTCCCCTGGCTCCCTCCCTCACCCCCACACCTGCCCAGTCTCTCCTTGCAGAGTCACCACCGCTCCTCTCCCTTGACTGAAAGCTTCAGCCCCTTTCATGCTGCCCTTTCTGGCTCTAGTCCTGCTCTCTCCTTTTTCCTCCGGGCGTGGAAGTCAGAAGGGAGGAGGAATGAGCCGCTGGGGCATTGAGTCCCTTCTAGAGCTGTGTTTTCCTAAAGGCCACGGTTCCTGCCAGGTGGCCGGCCTCAGCTCGGGTCTCCGCCCTCTTGCCCTGTTAGCCGTAGGGGTGGGATTGGTCCCCTGCTAGAGCCAACCCCGGGTATTGCCTCATTCTTTACTGACCTCTGCCTTGTTAGATTCTACCTACAGCTTGGCAAATAGTCCTTTATTTGACTGTCAGTGACTCCATTCGGACTTGTCATTCTTTTCTCCTGGGACTCTCAGTGTAATAATTTATTCACCTGTGAAGTTGAATTAGTGACATGAATCAACATTTCTAGTGTGGTTATTGCTGGTCACTTTTGAAACCAGAGACCAGTTCTGACAAAACTTACTGCAGTCTGAGTTGTGTAAAGATAGACTTCCTGTTTTATTTGCAATCTGGTGTGCTCATCCTGTAATCTGATAGTTTGCATATGCACATCTTAAGTAACCTTTAAATCATTTTGATAAAATTTTGTCTTAGGGTTAAAGATAGGGCTGTTTTTGTGAATGAGACGTCTAGATTCCTGAGGTTTCGTATATACGTTAGAATTGAAAGAAAGAGGGGAGCTTTTATCCCTTAATTCTGTGGGTATTCTCTTTCTAAATTATCTTGTATTGAGCCCAGAGCCACCCCTGCCCTTCTCCTGATGCCACCTTTGTGGATGAAGAACCATCCAAAATAAATCCACATGGAGGGAAACAGAACAACAGAGGATTGGGTTGACCTCCAAATCTTGTGCAGATTTCAGTGGTGAACTGAAGCCTGTTGGATCAGATAAGCTCGGGATGAGTGCTCCTGAGGTCACAGAGGCTCAGGGCTAGGATGAATCTTAAAAGCCATCAGTTCCCTCCCCCCACTGGCAGGTGCCAGGAAGAGAAACGTCCCCAAGTCTTCCAATCTCTGCTTGAATAGCTACAAGCACAGGGAACCAGACCCGGGGAGTGAGTAGATTTTTAAAAAGATGGTCTGTTTGATTTTGACTGGATTTAAGACAAAGAGCTTTTTTTTTTTTAATAGAAAATATAGAGTTTAGTTTAGCTCAATGACGTCTTGTCCCATTTCTGCCACCACCCAAGTTTCAGATCCTTCTTGAGCCTTGGGTCCCTACATGAAACACTTAGGGAGCTGTCTTGGATGCCATAGTGAATCCCTCCCATTTGCTGAATGCTGTGAGCTTTTCAGAGCCCTGTGGGTACTTTGCACATGTGGGTTAGCCCAAGCTTATGGCAGTATCTTCATTTTTGTGACAGGAATAGAAGTATGACCCATTTGCAACAGCAAGAGAATATCTGGTGGTAACTGGAATAGTGACTCCACCAGCAGTGCCCTGTTCACGTGTCCCCTGTGCCTAGGCATGCTGGCCTCACTGAATGGATTTCAGGAATGCCATGATACGGACCTCTTTAGCCCTCGTAGTGGCTGGGGAGACAGGCAGCCATCCCTGCTTGTGAACTCGATCTTACTGCCCCATACAGATAAGCTAAATTGCCCTTGGGTACCATGATGAGAGACAGACTGGGAAGTGTTATTCTCTTGCCCCTCCCCTCCTCCTGCCCTCCCTCCCTGCAGACCTTATCTCTTTCTGCACACCACTGATGCTCACCACCTATGTGCTGTTTCTGGTTTATAGACAATCACGATGCAATCCTGAGGTTTAATGGGGCGCCCACAGCCAACTTCCAACAAGACGTGGGGACGAAAACCACCATTCGCCTGATGAACTCTCAGGTAAAATTTCTTCTGTGCAGATACGTGGTCAGAGAAATTTCCTTCCACAAACGTGGACAGGGCTGACTGGAATGTAGTGAGCGGTGCAGGACTCTGCAGTCAGCCTGCCAGGGTTGCCACTCATTCGCTATGTGATCACGCACGCGTTGCTTATGCTTCTGGTTGCTCATCTGTAAAGAAGGGAGGATAATAGTACCTCCCTCCCAGGGTTGCTGTGAGGACCACGTGAGAAAATCCATGGGCTCTGATGCAGAATGTGCTTACTAGGACCACATAAACGCCGCCAACTTAATTAAGTCCCTTGACCTTCCTGAGTCCGGGATTCCCCAGTGGAGGAGAAAACAGCGAATCCGTGATCCAGCCTGGCCCTGGGGTCATGAACAAGCCCCTGGGCATTAGTCTGCCTCAAGGGAGGTGTCCAGCGTGCAGAGAGAGTCGAGCTCTGCTGTCCCTGTGGCTGCCAGGTCACAGCCAGAGTGTGGCCTGAGGGACAGCAGAGCAGAGAGCCTCCAGGGAGAGAAGTAAATGCAGCGGTGAATGTGGGTGTGCTTTATATGCTGCCGAGTGTTAGACAAGTGTTAGAAGACAGTGTCGCCGGTGATTCTGTGGAACCACAGATTCACATTCAGATATTACCTCATGAGTTCCCCTAGGCAGTTCGTTTCCTGCAACATTTTTAGGCAGCCTATGCTGATTTCTCAATACTAGTGGGAACTCAGGAAATACTCTTGCCACAAATTTCAGTTAGATGAAATTAGTGGAACAATTGGATTACACAAATATCAAAAATAGCATGAATGGGCATGATTCGGCTTATATGAGGTAACTGGAGTGGTCAAACCCACAGAGACAGGAAGTGGAATGGTGGTTGCCAGGGTCTGGGAGGAGAGAGGAATTATTGTTTAATGGATGTAGAGTTTCAATTTCGGAAGATGAAAAACTTCTGGAGATGGATGGTGGTGATGGTTGTATAGCATTGTGAGTGTACTTAATGCCACTGCACCATACACTGAAAAATGGGTAAAATGGTATATTTAATGTACATTTTATCACACATGCACATAAGTTTAAGTCAATGAGGAGAAAGCCAGTTGCTAGAAGGAGAAACTGAATATTCTAAAAAGAGGAGATAATTAAGAAAGTGGAGGGCAGTGGCTGGTCCAAAGCCTAGTGGAGGGTGAACCGCAGCAGGAGGGAGTCAGAAGGGAGCAAGGAGAGGAGGGGAGCAGCTGGAGGCAGTTTGCAGTGGAAGGATGGAGGAGTTTCTGTTTTCTCTGCAAAGAAAAGGAGGCTTTTTGAAGGGAGGCTGAGAGGAAGAGAGGCTTCAGCAGAGGAGGTTTGAGCAAAGAAGGTTTGAAATTGTCATTGAGGAGACTGGGAGAGGGAGTAAGCCAGAAGAAAGGAGTAGGATTTCCAGGCCATGCTGGTCACGTGGAGGTTGGGAGCATGAATTCAGAGAGAAATCAAGCTCTGTTTGTTCAGGGGTGGGGTGACTGCAGATCAGTGGGCAGCAGCAGTCAAAAAAGGGAGCATGGAGGAGGCTTGAGAATTGTCTTGGATTCGGGATGCTACCCCCTTCTTGGGCATCTCTTCCTGGTGTTTAGTGAAGAAGTAAACCTCAGTCCTCAAAGATTCTGAAACTGTATTTTCCAGCAATTCCTCCTCTGGGTATGTATATCCAAAGAAAACAAAAACACTTTGAAAAGATACATGCATCCCACCATTCATAGCAGCACTATTTACAATAGCCAAGATATGGGAACAACCTAAGTGTTGTTCATCAATCAACAGATGAATGGATAAAGATGTGGTATGTATCCACAATGGAATACTACTCAGCCATAAAAATGAAATCTTGCCATTTACAACAACATGGATGGAATTGGAGAGTATTGTGCTTAGTGAAGTAAATCAGAGAGAGAAAGACAAATACTGTATGATATCACTTATATGTGGAATCTGAAAAATAAAACAAACTAGTGAATATAGCAAAAAGAAGCAGACTCACAGATATAGAGAACAAATTAGTGGTTACCAGTGGGGAGAGATGATATCACTTATATGTGGAATCTGAAATAAAACAAACTAGTGAATATAGCAAAAGAAGCAGACTCACAGATATAGAGAACAAATTAGTGGTTACCAGTGGGGAGAGGGATGAGGGGAGGTGCAAGACAAGGACAGGGGAGTAAGAGGTAGAAACTGCTATGTACAAAATAAAAAAGCTACAAAGATATATTATACAGCACAGGAAATATAGCCAATATTTTGTAACTTTAAATGGAGTATAACCTTAGAAAATTGTGAATCACTATGTTGTACACTGGAACTTATATAATATTGTAAATCAACTCTATGTCAATTTAAAAAGAAAAAGAAAAAAGCCAAGGTAAGATTGCCTGGGAATTAAGAGACAGACTTTGTTCAGATTTGTCCCTCAGCCCTTCCTATGTGAGTGACTTGCAAGTTGCTTTGTCTTTCTGAGTCTCAGCTCCTGTATTTGTAAAGGGAAATAAGAAAAGATACCACACAGGGTCTTTGTAGGATCCAGTGAGATTGCTGAGCATGGAGCAGGGCACTCAAAGGCCCATATGCTGCCGCAGGGGCTCTCTGAATGGTGGCCGTGGTCGCTACTGAAGCGTGAAGCCTGCCTCTGTATGCTGGGCAACCACAGTCCTTCCCAGATCCCAGGCACGAGTGTCTCCCAGCAGGATGTCAGCCAGCTTGGGGCTGCTTTGGAGGTTGCTTTCTCCCAGCGAAGGGAGAAAAATAAAGGCTAATTTTCAGGAAAATTTAAGCTCATGACTGTCATACAGATAGTCTGTTTTGTCGCTAGGAGGGAACCAGGCAAATATTATAACCGGTTCAGGAGAATATTCAAAACAGTACAAAATTTGAATAAAGGAAAGAAACTGTTTTTTCCATGAGGTGGGCAGGAGGAGGGGGGCATTTAATTGGCACTCTACTGGGCAAGACTGAATAAGCATGTCTGTAGTTAGCTACAACTTATAAAGAGCTGCAGAACAGCTCCCATAGGATCAGAATCTGATAAAGAGGAAGGGCGTCCTGTAGACAATGCATAGTTTTCCACTGAGGTCCGCACTTTCTCCTCCACTTCCAGATCGCGGTGCTCTCTCTGCCAGGGCTCAGAGGAGGGTGGCTGACTTCCCAGGGTACATTTTCCACTCTCAATAAAGCCTTTCCCAGTTCTCCTCAGGCACACTCACCCCCCTTCCTCTCCTGTAAGCGGCACTAAGAACCTCGGCTGGTCCTCTGACACTGGTCACAGGCAGCCCCTTGGCTGGCTCCTTGTGATACTGACTTGTAACTGACACCCTTCTGTTACTGCCCTTTCTCACCTTGGTATCCTAGGAAGCTGGCAGTCTGTCTCCTCTTTTGTCCTGGTTGGTTATCCCAGCTGTTCTGTGTCTGTGTCTGAGCAAACCGAGTCACCACCATGGTGCACGGACAGCACCTGGCACCCCAAGGTCACGGGGGGAATAGCTGTGGGTTTAGTAAATTGTGCAGCTCACTGTCTTCCCTGATGGGAGCTCCTCTGGACAGCAGCTCTCTTCTGAGGGGAGCAGGGTCCGTGCTTGTTTGCTTAGCTCCCAGACTCCTCACATGCAGGGGACAGCCTTTTGGCATCTGGCCGGTGACAGAGCTATAGAAAACAAACAGGCGGTTTCTTATTGAGAAGGTGGCTTTTTATAGAGAACAGTGTCATACCGTGAAGTTTCAGCAGATCTGCTCAGGCGTGTATGTGCCAGGTGTTGTTATGAGATTCAACAGGAAAACCGTTTAGAGCTAAATGTGCATCTTTAAATTCAATTCTGACTCTAAGTGTAAGAAGGTTTTCTGAGACTCTGCTGAGCCCCTGTTATGCTCAGTGGGCCTGCAGGAGGAGACAGTGGGACACCGGGGCCCAGGGGCTTCCTTAGAAGCTCTTGTACAGATTGAGGAGGGGAAACCTACATCCTGTGTGTCCTGAAAACATGTCCAGCATATGCTGACTGGATTTCAACCAGGGCGTTCCCAGATCATATGATGGGGCTTATCTTGAGATGATAAGATGATCTTATTACACACATCTATGCTCTAAGGGCCACGCCTGCCTTTCTTATTTGATCTTCATGACAACCCTGTGAGGTGTGATCACCAACCACCATTCTACGTGAGGACACTAAGGCTCAGAGGGTTGAAGTGAGCTGCTCAGGGTGGTGCAGAAACTAAGCAGTGGAGGTGGATTTGGACCTAGTTTGTTTACCAGCGATGCTTTAAATCCCTAAGCTTTCTCTGAGCTTTTCTAGGTCGCTGATGTTTTTCAGGACCAGAGGAGGAGCTGCGACTTGATACTGGACGCAGCTTGCCTTCCTTTCCAAAGCCCTGGGTCCTAAGTGGTTTTCAACGTGTCAGAGCTGCTCTTGGTCTTCTTTCCCTTGTGTAGCCCATCCATCTGGTGTGCAGTCAGCTACCTAGATTCCATTCAGTCGAGCAAATAAGCTCCCACAGGACCCCGCCTCGAATGAGGGGAGAGCAGGAAAATGCAACGTTCTCCTCCCCGCAAGGGCTTCGCCCCACCCGCCCTGGCCCACAACACACACAAAGCCAGTGAAAGATGCAGTACAGAGCTGGGTGCGTTATTCTTTTTCTATGAGTTGGGCTATTTTAGACACCTCATATAAACTGGAACCATGCAGCATTTGTCTTTCTGTGACTGGCTTATTTCACTGATCATAATGTCCTCCAGGTTCTCCCACGTTGTCAATATATGGCAGAACTTCCTTCTTTTTGAGGCTGAGTAATGGTCTATGGAAACAGATTGTTGAATGGTGGTGGCCAGGGGCTGGGGTGAGGGGCAGAGGGGGAGTTGCTATTCAATGGGTATAACTTTCAGTTATGCAAGATGAATAAATTCTAGAGATCTGCTGTATAACATTGTGTCTGTAGTTAACCAGAATATATTTTGCACTTAAAAATTTGCTAAGAGGTTATATCTC